TTTAATTCGTATAAAAAATGAGACATTTTCTAAAAAATTTTAAAATTTACGTAATAAAAATTATATGAAGAATTTTAAGAAATATTTTCACCAAGATGCAGCTCGCATTTTTATCACTTCTTTTTTAATGACGTACCCTTGACACGCTCCAATGCGTCTAATATCCTCTTCTCTTCCGCAGGAAATGTGGCTTCTGAAGTTAGTTCTCTGACGCCTAAATACATAGTCAGAGATTGAATAATGTCGCCAGCTAACGTTGCATCGTCCGTCTGAATTATCACTTTTCCACTGGCGTTCGATTTGAAACAATGCACTTTGTTGTCCCGCATCCCACGAAGCCACACTTCGATGCATCCGGCATTCGGGCCACCTTCTGCAACTTCTAGTTCCTCTCCCATAATGATACTCTGGTTCAGCCAGATAGCGATTCGCTGCGGTCTCTCCGCGATCTACAAAATTGGATTACGCATCTTTAACGTCTCATTTTTAACGTTAGCTTTTAGAAATTAAAATGAAAACTCAACAATGTTCACTCACATCCATCTCAACACCATTACTCGATAATTCTTCCGAAACAAGTTGCGGCTTCGGGATACGCTCATACATACAAAATCTTGGCAATTGTCGTGTTATTTCAAAGACCTATCAAACTTAGAATTGTTACAGTCTAAAATTTATGTGATTTCCCCTGATAAAATTTTTTTTAGATTTCTTTATATAAGTTTTCAGAATTTTTCAGAATTTCTGTATAATTTTATAACTTTTTAAAAAATATCAGAAGTGCTAAAAAGATCTACATCTTTTCTAGAATTTTTTATACATGTGAATTCTGAAATATATTCAAAGTTTTCTAAAATTTCTCATTCTATAATTTTTAAAGATCATTTATAAAATCTAAGAAAAAATATCAAATATTTTTTCAGAAATCTACAAAAATTTAAAATATATAACAAATTCTTAAAAATATTACGAGATAATATGAGAAATATTTTCATTAGAGTTATATTGCATAATTACAACAATTATCGAAGACCTGTAATAGATCGGTACCAGGAGGTCCAACGTAAACCTTAACGTGAATATCTACGGGATCATTCTTGGCAGGATAAAGCGCGATTTCTAACTCCCCTTGCGGCCGATTGGGATGCGTGACCAGTGTTTCGCCCTCAAAAACACCTTCGGCAAAGACTATGGCGCAATATACCTAAATATTATTTTACATTTACAATATCTCGCGAATTTAATTCATGGATATCTCATTTTTAAGGAAAATTTATTTCAAAACCGAAAAAAATCAAAGAATCTGTGATACAAAGGAATTCGAGTTTCCAGTAAATATCAATCAATTAACAGTAATCTAACATCAATATTATAATTTCACATTTAACAATGTAACTATTACTATATGTGTTATATTATATTTATAATGTAACTATTACAATATGTGTTATATTATATTTATATTGTTGAGTGTACAATTATAACATTGATGTTATATTAAGTTAGAGTTCAGAGATGTGTCCTGTACATATGTAGCATATTACCAGAAGCCCGGGTCCAGCTGCAAGCGCGACGCGAGCTGCGCCTCTCTTTGTTAACAGGCTAATGGCTAATCTCGATCCATAATACATACTAGAACCCGTTGCAGCCCTCTGTCGCAATTCCATCTGAAGTGCCTGCTTCTTGGCTAATAGTTCACGAACTATCTCGCCGGGTTCCGGAGCTTGCATGGCAGAACCAGCACTGTATCCGCGTACTACAAAAAAATGTGAGAGCGAAATAAAAATATTGCAGCAAGAATCATAACTATTTAGCAGAAAAAAAGAGTTCCAAGGTTATACCTTCGCCATTGGTAGAAATTACCACCAGATCGGGTTTACCCGTTCTTCGATAATCAGCTTCTACTATGCCTGCCACGCCGGATGATAGCTGAATCTTGAATATGACTTCACCAGTATTATACGTCCTCGCATCTACTTTTCCACTACTCCAACCAGTGATCAGCTCCAATACACTATCTCCGTTTATATCAAAAGTGTTTACAGATATCACCTTGTGCTTTGACTGAAATAAATTTCATAAATTCCATCAGATTAAATAAATAAAGAAGGGCCAATACGGTCGAAGCAAGATCTTAGTATTTAATTATTTTATGTAAATATTATTATATGCAAATATAATTATTCTATGTAAATATATAAATTTTTTAAATGCATCTTTCAGTTATGTAAACTGCTATGTATGCCAATCACTGTCGGATAATTTGAAATACAATTACAAACTGAAGCTGAAGTAATAATAGTAGAAGTAGTAAAAACATACAATTTTTAGGTTGAAATCCTGGTTGGGATAATATTTTTCGCAATAAATTCTTTGTAGTGTCTTAATTAAAATGTTTATCATTATTAACATTATTATTAAATTAACGATCAATTTAATTTGTAATATATCTATATGTATTATTATTTTCTTTTTAAATTCATGATTTCAAGTTCGATAATAATCGACTGATAGTTCAAAAAAAATGTTTCTAAAATTTACATATAAAATATTAATAAGCCCTAATTGTATAAAATTTAGCCTTGGCCATATTTGCAAGCCTTTACTTATTTAATTTTGCATAGGGGTTTAATTAATATATTATTCAATCAGATTGTTTAATACAGGCAATAACTATGTTCAGCAAAGAAAGTAGCTTTGCAACTGTTATTCTTAAAATTCTTCAATACAATTGGTTCTTGCTTTTGATTCCTTTTATGGACCTAATGTATAAACCAATCATATTGAAGAATTTTATAACAGTTGCAAAGCTGCTTTCTCTGCTGAACGCAGCCATTGTTAAAATTTCTCTTGTATTTGCTGCATTTAAGCATTTTACTTTAACTCGCCACAATCTTTGCCCCGCTTCATAGACACCAATTGTTCCGTTTTCTAGAGCATAAGCAAACTGCCTGTTCGGAAGATCAGTGAAAACAATAATCGCTGCTGTTTCCTTAGTTTCCCAAAGTATAGTGTCTTTCTTCTGCACTCTAATTTCAAAATCTGTTGTACCCGTCAGTAACTAAAAAAAAAATAAGGTAATTTGGAAAAAACAAATTTTATGTCTATTCTATCAATATACTCAGATATACAGATTAATTTAATCTTTAATTTATCTTTTTCTAATTTTTAGAACTAAAAAAAGATAAAAAGTGAATTACTCTATATTGGTTTAATTGCTTCAAGATTTCAGATTCAGGAGGAATCTAGATTTTAAAATAAGAAAAAAAAACGTGAAAAATTGACATTAAATTATTAAGAATCGTTCCATACTTACTTCGTTTTCTCCATCTCCATCAAAATCAAACGCTGTTAGTGAAGTAACAATACCTCCCATTACAGTCCAAAATATTTCCGTTCCATGTGCATCTAAGATGGTCACTGAACAATTGCCACCTATTATTACAACATGGTTCGGCAACCATCCAACTTTTGCGACAAGCATGCAATTTGCACCATCCGACATCTGAAGTAATTAGTATAGTAGTCGTAAACTAGATCCTGCTTACTTAACTCGAAATTATAATCAATACCTCCTTATAGAAAACATCAGCATTGTCTTCGACATGATAAGCAAGCACGTGAGAAATAGTACCGACCAAAAGAATATCCCTTTCGTCTTCTCCAAGACGACCAGTGCACAATGACTTCACCTAGATAATATGGACTAGAGAAAACTTCGTACACAAGGAAGGCACGAAATAAAAACACAGAATAGTGCAAAACTTTATTTATATGTGAAACGATTTATATATAACATTCTGATTTCAACACATTCGAACCTCGGTGCCAATTTGAAGCTCCGCAAGTTCCCCGCTCCATGACAATCTTTTATTCGATTGTTTATGATCAGAATAATCGACTTGTGGTTGCCTATGCGGACTGTGCACCAAAATGGTTCCGCCAGGTGTAGCAGCCGCAAGACACGCGTGCGATCCATCAAATTTTCCACTCACAACAAGATTTGCTTTTATGTGTTTCTGAATGTTTAAGGAGAATTCTGCCATTCTGAACTAGTGTTACATTATCGCGGTATACTTTGCCAATGTTGTGCCCTTACTATTGGCACGGTGATAGAATATTGATTTTACAACTGACTCTGCTGTTTATAGATGTCACAACTGTATCATTCAATACGTTATTATTTTATTGTATTTAGAATAATACGGACAATAATATCCAATTTAATAATTATATTTATTTTAGCAGAAATGTAATTATATGTATTATGTAGTATTTATAATTTAATATTATTTCTATCACATTATGAAATTATACTATAAATTTTGACAGTTTCCACAAGACCACTCTTTGAGAATATATAATGTACACGCAGGCACAAATTATTTTTTATTAGAAGATCATTGTCTTTGTGCACTTCCGCCAGCTTCGGGATTCGACGCGGATGACAACAGCAAAAAGATCAAGAAAGGAACGATGTACATCCACTGTAACAAAAATGAATGAATTAAATAAAATTTCTATATACATATATATATATATAAACTTTTACAAAAATATTCTTACATATTTTGCAAGAAATGAACGATTATCTTTAGTTTCTCCTCTCTCTCTTGCTTCCCGTTCTCGTTCAAGCTTCTGAATATACGTAGCGGTGTCAGGAATTGGACCGCCATCCGGATATCTGACCACGACATTTGTGGTCCACATGTTTGTGAAGGGATTATCTAACGTACAGGGTCCCGAAGATGAAATGCTCACAGCTATCGGCTCTGCTGTACTATCCAACCATATCGTTATGACATCTTCTAGATCTGAACCAAGGAGGTAGCACTATCAATTGAAAACAATACAATCAGTACACTCAAATATAATAAAATACAATGTATTGTCAAATGAAATAAACTAATAGCAATTCGATTAAATTTATTAGTAGTGCATATTAAACCTGTTTTATATTTGTATTCTGTATATTTGAGTAATAAAAATAAAATATCTCAAATAAAATGCCCAATACATATTCTAAAAGTAAAATAAAGTTTAAGAAATTAAAAATTTCGCAGTCCTGTTTATATTTTCATAAATTCTATATTGACACACACATTAGAGCTGACATGGATTAAACCTTCTATGCAGTAATTATTTGAATAATAAAGATTCTGATGAATAAAAATAATAATTCAGTTTTATCGGTAAAATAATGTTAAGATAAAAGATATATTATTATATTTATTACTTCTTGAATTTTACTAATTTACTTATATATATATATATAT